TTATAAGAATCATCACTGTTTTTGTAAGTGTCCACCTCCGATTGTTCTGAATTTTAGATATGTTTTAAAGGAGCAAAAAATAAGATATACGTATTTTTTTATATCGACCCGTTTTCATATTTAGGGGGTGAAACGATGCATCTAAAATATTACTACGGTCATTTGGAGAGAAAGAGTCAGGAAACTTAAAACTCTTTTTACGTTTCGATCCCAAAGTGGGTCCTCGAGGGGAACACATCGCCTCTGAGGCCGAAACTTGGGATGAAATAAAGTTATTTAGTTGTAGCGGCTTTTTCTTTGAAGGGTGATTTGTGTTTATTGAGAGATTTTACGTTTCGATCCCAGAACGAGGGTCCTCTCCAGCAGGACGTTAGGTGCAATAAAAGGCGAAGAACGATACACGATTCGGGTTACAAAATGTAAGGTAAAATTGTACGAAATACGAGGATATTAATATATCGATAATATTCGTATTACTGAATGAAAAACAGAAAGTTATAGAACGAAATGAAGTAACAAAAGAATCGTTCGAAATATAAAACTGACACACAAAACCATATGTTCAGAATTGCAACTTAATATTTGAGAAACAGAAGGTTATAGAACTAAATGAAATAACAAAAGAATCGTTCGAAATATAAAAACTGCCCCATGAAACCATGTGTTCAGAATTGCAACTTAATATTTGAAAAACAGAAGGTTATAGAACGAAATGAAATAACAAAAGAATCGTTCAAAATATAAAACTACCCCATGAAACCATGTGTTCAGAATTGCAACTTAATATTTGAATTGACAACGTTTTCTGAGGAAATTTGAAAGAATGTGCCTACACTATACAGAGATCGTGCCTTTTTCACGCGAGTGGCGGAAAGCGGAAGAGAACTACCCTTCGTAAGAATGTCCACCGTCCGAGTAGCGTGGATCGTGGAAGTTTGGGACGCGGGGATCTCGAAATCCCTCCAACGTCTGTCACGATAAATTTGTAACTTTGGGGCACCGATCGCTTCGTAAGAACCACCCTACACGTACACATAGGCGAGCAGGAGTATCGGTGAACGGCCTATTCATCGTCGCCGCCTTTTAAACCGTCGGCGTCTGGCTCCTCCGTGGAATCGAAGGGCCAGAGAGGCGCTGGTGGACAAGAAGATAGTCCCCCAACGTCGCCGTCTCTTTCTCTCAAGCCACTTTAAACGTCTTTATGAGTTTCGGCTGTTAACACGCCCGTGGAAGCAGGTACGTCCTTTTTTTCGGCGCCTGCTTTCCTCGTATCTGCGGGATCTCAGGTGGCTAGCGGCTAGCTCGTGAGAGACAGATGAAGCCGTGATTGGACAGGAAGTATGGCACCGCGACGAAAGAGCTCACCGATCTCTTCTTCTCTCTTCCTCGTTCCTGGTCACACGGGGATCCGTGTACGTACGTGTCGTCCGGGGGACAGGTTCTTCGAGAAATTGCTCAATAAAAGTCAAATTTACTGGTTTATCTGTCGAAAGCTGCGGGACCCCGTCGGCTTCTTATAACATCTTCCGATAAGATTCTCCAGGTCCTTGTTGTCCACCGAGGAATACGAAAACGACGTGGCGGAATAACTTCAACGTTCCTCGAATCTATTTTGGTTTCCATCTTGCAACGAAAATCAACCCTCGTGGTTGTTCGATGACTTGAAATAATGATTTTACGTCCAAAGGTTCTTCAAGATCGCGAACACACGATACTCTGTTCTTCACACTCGATGATCGAACATTTAACTTGCAACAAATAGTTGTCCAGTGTGAGGTGCTTGAGCTCCAAGCGTTATCTTTTCTTTAAATAGCAAAAATCTGCCAAAATTCTCCAATTTAAATATACTACACTCGAGTTGCTAAATTTTTCTGTTGCCAATAATACAATTTACAATAAATAACACGCTGTTAAGGTATAATCCTGCGATAAGATAGAAGAGATAATACCATGTATGGATAGAAACCGAGTGAAACGAATGGCCACGAGCTCTAAAAAGCTTATCTTCGCACGGCAGCGTTCATTGCCGGTAGAATCCAATATTCCTCGTTCCTCGCGACAGTTTTATAACGTCCCCGATCAACAGGCGTCGCAATTAAAAGTTGATTTGCAACAGTCACCGTACTGCTCGTTCGCATCATCATTAACAACGTTTGAGGAAGGCGCAGCCGGCGGCATGCAAATTTCGCGATAATTGGCGAACCGCGTCGTTCACGCGGCTCGGCGATATCGCGATGAAATCGCGGCCGAGCGAGATCGATCATCGTGGGCTTTTACGCCGGGATCGGCTTATGTGCAATTTGTCATAGACAAGATCTTGCGTTTCAACGGCGGATCCGCTAGGATCCACTTTACGATCTTATTAGCGGCATCGCGATCGCTAAATTCCCCCTATACACGCGCGCCATCGCGAGGAAGCGTCCTGAACTACACGCAAGGCGCGTTAGACATCTAGAATCGACTCCCTAAACGACTGATTCGCCTCGATTAGATTAATCCTTTGACCACGAAAGGCGTACGCATACATTTCTCGATACTTTAGGACTTTCCAGGAGGAATCAAATTAAATTAATAAACTATGGCTTTGGTGTGAATAATCGACTCCCTTTGATCGATCCTTCTTTGGCGACGGTGTGTCTTGAGTGATCTTGGCTATTTCTTCAAGTTTCGTTTAACTTTTCATTCGATTTTAGCATCTTAAACGGCATTCCTGGCTTCATATAACTTTTACTATCGAGGCATTCGAGTGTTCAAGCATTGCAGCTTCGTCAGGGTACAAAAGAGCGTATCGTTGCGTCTTTTGCGTATTTGACTTTACAAGCCACCTTCCGCAGGGTTCGTCGCCTCCCACTTTGGAAAACAGTGGTGCAACGTGTTAATCGAAACGGGTCGTCGCGTGATCGACCCCGGGCTGCCTCGTAAAACTTTACGATCTTCTATTAACGGAACAGCCGGGCGTAATGAGCGCACAGCCTCCTCTCGCGCGCTCAGCTTGTCTAGGTGTCCGCGTGGTTGGATCAGGGGCCCCGGGAAAAGACGAAAATTTTTCCAGACTCCGGGGATTTTATCGGTGCGATCAAAAGGCTCGCGACGTTGACACGAAGACCGAACTCGGTGTCATCTCTTTCCCTTGACAGCTTCGCTATCTTGTTCCTTTAGGGGGACGGTCATCCCATTATCTAACTGACTGGTCACCCGAGCGTAAAGTGGGCAGTCCTGTCCAGGAAGCAATCTTCGATCTCCGACCGATCCTTGGGCATCTTCAGGAAAATTTTAACGTCTTCACTGTCATTCGTTTGCCTTCTCGAACGTATTCGTTTGGTCGGTCGTCTCACGTAAACTATGTTTGAATGGGATAACATCAATGGAGTCCTCATGTTGCGGAATTTGCGAAACACCGGGAGAAATATTATCTTTTCCTTGTTGTTGATTCTATTTTCTTCTTGGAAGATCTTGCTCGTAATTTCACATCTCAGGAAAGAAAAGAAAAGAAAGGGGAATGTGTGTTTTAACAGATAGGTGGTTGGTCGAGTACTTGTGAGAAAAATAAAGCTTGACGTAGCCCCCTGTTGACGAGCAAGGGAGGTGTCGCCACAGATCGATAGAATAATGTCGTAAACCATTTAACTCGTTGCTCTGTTAGCCTAACAGTGCTCATACGACCCGGGGCAACGAACACTGATGCACAATCGTTTAGAATTCAAGGGGTACGCGTTGAAATTCACGCTTTGACTATCAATATTATGCAAACGTACCAAGGGTCCCTAAAACCCCATGAAATCCGAGCCCACTCGAAGGATCACCCAAACATTTCCAAAACCTACGAGAATTTGCGTATTAAATATCGATGCAAGAGTTTTTAGAATCATTCCCTAGAGACAACAACATCTAGATCTTTTCAAATAGTCAATTGAACCTAAATATTTCTATTTATTTTCTCGATCGTCATGAAAATTGACTTTTATTCCGTTGGATTGGTAAAGTATAGCAACGCGTGTCGTTTGGGCAGCACGATCGTGATGATTCTACGAATCGATTCGTGCGTGAATTTTGTCCCGGTAAATAATTTGACTTGTGTATAATTGAACGTTACGGCCGGCCATCGACGTGGGGAAGACGATAACAACGAGGCCGTCATTGCGCCATCCAGAAGGCTGAGTCGTTACCGAATTATTTCGAGGAGAGACTGACAGGCGGTACCAAAGCGCGATGGTTAGGGGGGCCTTCACGGACAATGCGAATCTGTAATTATAAGCGCGCCGTCTTCTGACTGCCCATCCCCCTCCCACCCCCCTCGCCTTCTTTCTTGTTCACGTAAAATCTCATACAGCCCCGTATTATCGCCTTAAATCAACAGAGCCGCTCCTACGGTCGGTACCAACGCGGCCCGAAAGGAGTTCCGTGGCCATGGACGGACGAGGGGGGCACCCGAAACCGGGAAGATGGCACGAGAGGGACTTTAATAGTAGGTCTCGCTTAATAACCCACGTCCCGGGGCCCAAACTGATTGTCATTGCAGTAGATTCGATCACGTGAGTCGGCACTGTCAGTGTAACGCCAGTGGCGTAGCGAGTGGCTTCGATTCGTGGAAGAAAATGGGTCGATTCTCAAACAGGGATTCGAACTCTGACCCGAATGCTAATAAACGTTTTGCAACTATAATTTTTCAATTCCTCGACGATCTGAAATTATTATCCCTCAGCGTCTACCAATGGTTTCATTAACAATTGTGTCTGGCTGATCATTGTGAAACTTGAACATTTTGTTAAAAGATGCCATAGGTCGATATTAATTCGAATTTTAGTATATTTTAAACAAGATTATTCGTTCCTCGAGGGATGAAATGTCACTGACGATTATAATACAAAACAGAAATGTGAAATCATTGCTTGGAATCGATTCAAACCAGTTCTAAAACTGCACTAGATGCGCCATCTGTAGCAAACCATGGTAACTCGATGCGATTCAATCCGTTCCTTTAAAGGTAAAAAAGTTATGTGTGCATGCACGAACACCAAAACACAGTTTGCACAGAATCGTATTTCGTCGCGCGTTTCGTAACCTTTTTGCCATAAAATACAACTAAACGTAAACCATAAACTATATAGATGCAAACATGTTATTGCGATTAACCGTAAATACCACTCGAAAATTGTTGTTAAATACAAACATAAGTTCTCAGGTAAATTGAAGTATTATTCTGTGGTGAGGTTATGTCTGCATTTTCAGTCGGCGTGAGCAGAATTCTTTTACGTTGAATTGTAATCTTTTTTCAGAAATTAGCAAAATGCAAATTCAGTCGCCTCGCCACCCCTATTACAAATATTATACCCAGAAACAATTGCACATTCGACGTTCATAAACATTCAAAAGTTAATGGTATTTTTTGCGTTCGATATCAAAGTACGGTGGATGCGACGAAGGAGACTGTATTAAATACTCAACCAAGTATGAAATATATATATGCACGTATATCAATATTCTATTAATTAAATATTTTTCTCTTAGGTCCACCAGCACCACAGACAGCGAATGCACTGGAAACCACAAATAACACTGTACCAGAAAATGTATTTATCAGTGAAATACCAGGTGAATTAATTTTCTACTTTAAGAAATATTTTTTTATTTAAAATAAAGTGAAAGAAATGTGCTCAATTTTTATATTACTTTCCATAGATATACCTGCACCACAGATACCAGAAATAATAGAAACTATTGTTAAACTACATCCAAATGGAGAGCCTATGTTCTCAAGTATAGGATTGTGTGGATATAGTCCTATCGGTGCTATACAATACGCTTTGGAATGGTTACATATTTATTGCGATATGCCATGGTGGGCAGCAATTGCATTTGGCACTGTATGTGTCAGAACACTACTGTTCCCATTAATAATATTAACACAGAAAAATAATGTCATGTTAAACAACAATCTAGCAGGCATGCGAAGAATACAGGAGAAAATAACAGAATCAAGACAATGTGGAAATGAATATGAAGGTATATATTAATACTCAAATGATCGCATATTATTCCCAATAGTTTTATTCCAAAACCGGGGATTCCCACTTTAAAAATGAATTTTTATTTTCAGTTGCCAAGTATGGTCATGATTTAACAAATTATATGAAAGAAAAGAATATTAATCCATTGAAGACTATGTTCATAGGCTTGTCGCAAGTACGTATTTTACAACAAATAATGCGATTTTTTTGGATTTAAAAATGTCGAAAAATAATAACGAAAATTTATGTTTTCATATTCACCAGATGCCAGTATTTGTTTCATTCTTTTTGGCTTTGAGACAAATGGCCAATCTACCTGTCGAAAGTTTAAGTAATGGCGGATTGTGGTGGTTTACAGATTTAACTGCTAATGATCCCTATTATATACTACCTGTAATCACTTGCACGACAGTACTCGCGACACTTATGCACGGCGGTAGTTTAAAAAATGTAGAAGGTATACTTAAACATGTAATTCGTGCTGTGCCATTTGTTATGTTTCCGTTTCTAATAAACTTTCCAGCGGTAAGAAACGCACATTTAACAAATTTACGAACGAAACATCGATCTCTTTACATTATTCTATACTATACTGTTATTTTTCAAATGCATATTTCAGGTTATTTTGTGCTATTGGGTGTCAACAAACTTTTTCACCCTGCTTCAAGTCTCGCTTCTAAAAATCGATAGAATAAGAAAATTCTTCGACATACCGGAACATATAAAACAGCAGGAAGCGTTTCCTCAGAAACGAAAAAGCTTCATGGATGAACTAAATAATTGTAATTAGAAATGAGATTAGAAACTTAGCACAATGCTCGGTGAACTAAATTTTGAATCCTTTTTTTTTTAGCTTGGACCAATATCAAAATATCTAAACAGTTGGCGAACAAAAAACACGCGGATTCGACGTTATTTAATGAGGCGGGAAAAGGCCCTTTAAAGAAAACATTCAAATACAATCCATCAAAAACGCCAAAGATAGCAGTACAAGCTGCATCAAAGAAAAGCTAATATTTCGTACATGATCGTATGTAGATATAATTGTACCATACTTGATTAATTCTAACGATACTTTAATAATAAATGATTTCAAACACACTGATAGCAATCTGTTTTCTTTATTTAATGAAACTGAGCGATTTCTACGTAACAAACCGACTGCGTGAAAACTATTTCTAAAGAATTGCTGGCCGCATACGAACATATCTTTTTTGCGACTCTGGATTTGTCATTTCTACTGAATTCACCTAGACCACAGTTAAACCAAGCAATGATTAAACATCTGTACATAAATTTTCACCAAACTATCCGCAATTTTCACATATTCGGCTTATTGAACTGCCTTTCAGGACATTCACGATCGCGATTTCAATTCGATACGTCGATCTCGATTGTAATGTTTAAAATAATCGATTTAAATATAATTCCCCCGGTTCCGTCAGCGCTGCAGTCTTACTCTCATCTGAATCAGTACTAATCAGTGTTACCAGATAGCAGACTGATGCACAAACTAAATATACGAGATCTTTCACCCCATGAATTTTTTCGACCCATTTTTCTGGGGCTATAGAGCCCCATTACCATTTTCGTGCCACTCGCAACGTTACCAACAGATTTAGAAATAAACACAAGTGGAAGTGAGACAGAAAATGAAATTTTAGTATTTCTAAACGGAATGAAAGCTGTATGATACAGAATTGAGAATCAATCTATTAATTTCATTGGAGTAACTAATCGATTAAGATTATTAAAATCTGTAAGGATGTACCTCATTGACAACTACACCGAAAATCCTCTATTTTTTATTTTAGATTGTAATATATCATTTATTTGAAAACTAACTCGGCAAAAATGGATTTGAGACTCGAAATCGATGCTAGATCGCTCACCGGGGCGAAGAATATTTGTGAAACTACGCGAAAAACGCAGCCATTAGCTCATATTATTTAATATGTAATTAATAATTATATTAATTGCATAGTAAATAATATGACCCAGGTCTCACCACGAGGAGGTTGCTGCGAGTGGAGACCCGCCCTAGCCTCGCCCCAACCACCCTCCTTTGGCGAGGAATTCGAATACCTATCTAAAGGAGAAGCTATCGAAAAGTTAGAAACGAGCTACAAAGGTCGAGTTCTTAAAAGAACTGACCAATGAAGAGATGAAGAACCTAACAAAATGTCAATACATGTGAGATGACACACATGTTTTCCAGAAACGAAATTGAAATGTGCAACTGCACGTTCGAACTTTGATGAAGAGATCGAAAACCTAACAAAATGTTGATACATGTGAGATAATCCTGCACATGTTTTCTAGAAACGAAATTGGAATGTGCAACTGCACGTACGAATCCTGACTATTAAAGTACCAATATGTATTTTATTATTAATTGTTCCTTCTTAATTATGACAGTGCCTAAGAAGACACTGAAGATCCAACCAGAAATGTGCAACTGCACGTATGGACCTTGCATATTAGAATACTAATATGTACCTTAATATTAATCATTCCCCCTTAAATTTACGCACACGATTCAGTAGTATTTAATCAAACACTGGAGAACGCTTTTTTATCTTATAATCTATATACATTTTTACTTATATTCTAACGCAATCTGTGGAAACGAAGAAATACGAGGATATATTTTCTTCTTGGTGTCTTCATCAATCTCACGATGTTTTTCTAAAACATACACTAATAAATTATAACCGACATGAAACAAAGAAATACGACAAGATATTTTCTTCTTGGTGCCTAGGTTAATCCCACGATGTTTCCCTGAAACATAAACTCAGACAATTAATAGAATTGTATGAAATATTTTTCTAAGAACAATCAAGATGGAATCCGTGTACCATTTTCAACTCCATTCTTCAATGATTCTATATTCTGTAACAAGAACTTTTTCAAAGAATTAATAGCTGAAATGAAAGTGTATTAATGGACACAGAAAAAAAAAATGATGTACCATCAAGATAGACTCATGGTATCGATCATAGTAAAAGTGACATGAAATTAATATTTTAACCAAAGCTTCCACGAGTAAAAATTGATATTAAAAAGTTTAAAAACATAAATATTACGTAAAATTGAATGGAAAAGTTAAATTCGTTTCAGTGTTAAGATAAGTAGATTTTATTTTTCGTTTCGCGTATCAAATAAAAAAATTTTCAAAACGTATACATTGCAATAATTATATTTTACTGTACTGAAAACTAAATTACGTTCATGCAGAAAAAGCAATAACGAACGAAAATATCGATTCTGCGCGGAAATTAACTCTCAATATGAAATATCGAATTGCAATTTGCATACCCTTTTGATGCAAGCATTCTATTTTCCATCAATTAAAACAACGATCGCGAGCAAACTTTGATTTATGCAAAGAATACAGAATATTTATAAAAAATTCACTATTTATAAATAACAATTGGATTGCAAAGCGTTATTATATCCCGTAAAAATGACCAACTCTAACAATGAATAATTAGTGATATAGATATATATATATTGCAATCATAAATTCAATCTACAATAAAATTCATCATAATATAGAATTTTAAAATGCATCACAAATCTGTGATGAAAATACATTTACATATATTATAGATTTTAACACGTTATGAAGAATAAAATAATTGGTCTATTCACAACAGTATTTTCAAGCAGTATTTCCTTTGGCAAACATATAAAGAAAATATATATTTCAGATAAACGTCCACTCGTCTTAAATTCAAACAACCCGTGAGTGGACCATTCTTTCTTTCGCAACGCTAATTTATACAATAAAAAACTATACGCGAATGGTGCCTGTTATTCGTGAAATGAACCACGCAGGGTTCCTTTATTAATTAAATCGCGTGCACCTATATTCAATCATGCGCAACACTAATTTTAATAATGACGTTGAGCCATTCGAGGCTTTGTAGAATCCCATCTTGCTTCTCGACTATGTTTCGCAACGCTAATGCAAATCGCGTAGCCCAAAAATGCTGGATCAGGTGCTGGCGTCTTCAGTTGTAGCTACGAACATACATGCACAAAATAAACTATATAAAACAAATAAATATGAATAAATATTTCTTCTTGGTGTCTTGATTAATCCCACGATGTTTCCCTGAAACATAAATCAGACAATAAATAAAATTGTACAAAGAAACTAACTTACATCAAGCTACTTCAAACTACAATAGAGTGGCACATATGAGGATGAAGTTAGACGTTTTAAATATCGCAACACTACGGGCAACAACGCGATAAATCAACAATCGCAACGCTAATTTATAATAGAAAAATTCCAAACGCGACTTGTAAGAATAAAAACAACCGCAAATGGTAATTATTCGCAACGCTACCCTGAAAAGCAAACGCGAAAAATAGTAATTCGCAACTCTACGAGCAATCGCGTTTACTAAAAATTCGCAACGCTATTGTTAAAGCAAACACCCGATTCCTAGGTTTGCATAAAAACAATCGCGAATCGTATTTATTCGCAGCACTAATATATCAACGCGATAAGTATTTGTTCGCAACTCTACGAGCAAACGTGAACATTGTATATTATTCGCAACTCTAACTTTAATCGGGGGCTATTGGTACATGTGCATGCACATGTACTGGCCACTAAACTAACTACTACTAGTACTACAATTGGGGTAGAATTTGGGCATTGAAAATATCGCAACGCTAAATAAAAAATCGCACGATTAATCAAGATCGCAACGCTAATTTATAACATGAAAATTACAAACGCGGTTGATGTCCATTATATATATGAAAGAGTAAAAAAGCAACGCGAATCGTGATTGTTCGCAACACTACCCTGAAAAGCAAACGCGAAAAATAGTAATTCGCAACTCTACGAGCAATCGCGTTTATCAATAATTCGCAACGCTATTTTTAAGCAAACATTCAGTACCTAATTTTCAGTACCTAGTTTGCAAAAAAACAATCGCGTATCGTGTCAATGCGCAACACTACCCTGAAAAGGCAACGCGAAAAATAAGAGTTCGCAACTCTAAAACCAAACGCGATTATTGCATATTCGCAACTCTATGTACATCATAACCGCGAGTTATGGGGAGAGATGGCTGGCATGTATGGTGCAATCATGTACCATCAGGTACATGCATACGTGAGCCAGCTAGAAAAATAAACTAACTACAACTACAGACGAGTTAAGTGATAATGTAGTAACAGGAATGACTTTCCATTCTCATCCGAGGATGAAAATGAAATGCCATTTGTTGTAGCCCGCTCTTGAGACAGTTTGTCAGGGCCTCTTCAGCTCATATAGAGCCTTTTCTTTCTTCGGCGGTCCTGCCGATGCCTGAAACTTACTTAAAACAAGACTCGAGATTTTGTGCAATACGTAGTCTTCCAACAATATACGAATTGTTGCAAGAGCATACGTGGTGAATCTCGAGGGGAACGAACGTTTCGAAAGGGACCTGATCACGACCGCGAGCGCGAGAGAGCGACTTTTAGAGTCGCGCGATTCGAGGAGTCGAAAATAAAGCCGAAACAAACAGCACAAGTACACCGTTTGAATCAGCAAAATTTCTACTCTCGAAATCGTAACTACAGGAACAGAACTGCCACGCGAAAACGCGCCTACCCGAATTACTAATGTGGACAGTCCTGCCCTGACCCTACCTACTTAGATTAAGCGCACACACACCAGAGAAAAAGTTACCTACCTACCTAACCCTATATTTAAAAAATTGCAAAACTCATTCAAACAAACAAACACTCCACGGTTCTCACGCATAATATTCGGGCGCGACCTAAACTAGAGAGGACTCCCCGGGGTTCCTCCGACACCCGAATATTGCAAACATTCACACTCTAATTGTGGACTTACTGGTTTCTGAGACTGACAAAGGCTAGTGATCTTTGCGTTCTTATATTATATAGATAAACGTTTGTATAGAACGTTTCAATATATGGAATATAGTCTTTAATAAAATCTATTGTATGGATGTATCATTCAAGATTGAAAAATATTAAGATTCAAATCTATTAAGATCAACAGTATTCAAATAAATGATAAATTGAAATATGATATTATTATTGATAAAAAATCTAATGTTATAAA